GTCAGTTAGTGTATGTGTGCTAGCTCACAGAGAAACGCAATATTCCTATTGGTTAATTGTACAGTGATACTTTTACATTTATACAAGTGCAAAAGTGAACGATGTTTAACATGCATTGTCCAATATGATTGCAAAAACTACGATGTTTATAACACTATCTTTAAAGACAAATATTTCAGTAACATGACCAACCATGACAGGAAACACATTAATTCTTTACCTTTCTGTGGCTTATAAATAACAATACCATTACATCTCAATACCAACTCCAACAGGCACATAAAAATCAACTATTAGGCCTAAAGATTAAATACACTTTGTTCAGAAAGCACAAGTTTACCCAGTAAATAATCTACAGCAATTAGCCTTAATAGTTACTGCCACATCTTCATTCATTTTCAATGCTCTAAAGCTAATGCTTTGTAGAAAAGAAAACAATCAAAGGTTTCAGATGTAATTTACACATATATATACACACACAAGTCATTTACAAAAAAAAAAGTTTCATCAAGAAAAAAAATCTTGAGAACTTATTCAAAGCTAGCAACTTTTTAGAAAGACAACATATTTCTACTAAAAATGTTGTGTACCGATATTTTATTTATAGTCATTCCATGTTTTTAAGAGGTATTTATTTTAAATGTAAATCCAACTCCATATTCTACTTATTAGGTTTCATTCATACCCGACAATGTAATATAACAACAGCATTATTTAAAGGATTTATCGACTTAAAACACATACCCTTCTCATATGTATTAGCATTTCTCTTAATAATGCTGCATATGTGCAAATAACGCTGGGCTTTGTCTAAACAACATTTCAGTAGTCAAATAATTTTAGCACATACATTGTAAATGATGCACGAGTTTATCCCCTAGTAGATAATGTATAAACATTTAAGAACAACAAAGAACTGTTTGTCCACCTAGGCTGTTCCATTCACTAACTCAAAGCCAGCCCCTTATTATTTAAACATTTATCAAGCCTTCTCTTAGAATACTTTAAATTTGCTATATACACCAAATCTGAAGGTAACCCATTTAAAAAGCCAACCACCGTGTTAGAAAAATAAAACTCTCTTAGCTGAGGATAACTTTTACCCAATCAAAATTTATATTTGGGTCCCCCTAGTCCTACCATTTTCACCTTTAAGTGTGAAAAAAGATGATACAGCAACACTATCAATTCCATTTACAATCTTAAAACATCTCAATTAGATCCCTCTAATTATTCTATTTTCAAGAGAAAACAACTTCAGAGATTTTAGCTTTTAGTACTCTTCTGAACCCTTTCCAACAAATAAATATCCTTCCTAAGGTAAGAAGCCCAACAGAGAAAACAATATTCCAAATCAGACCAATGTAATGAAGTTATACCCATATTACACTTATTTTCAGTACTCCTGTAGATGCAACCTAAAATTCTATTCCCTACAACTAGCAACAGCTTGTATGGCTTAAGAGTAATCAACCATTACACCAAAACCATTTACTTCCATAACACTATTAAGGTTATTGCCATCAAAATCATCTTTGCATTTATTATAATTAAAAGTCATCTGCCATTTACTTGCCCAACTCACCAATAACCTAAATCCTTTGTAAAGCAGCAACATACTTCTCGGAACCAGAAACATCCAAGACTTTAATATCATCAGCAAATTAAAATAATATATTGATCATTCTTTCATTCATGTCATTAATCTAAATCATATGGCCTCACGTCTCTTACGTGACATCTTGTTAAAGGCTCTCTTAAAAGCAAGATACACCAAATCCATACCTTTATCCTAATTTACAAAAACAGGCAAAATTTTCTCTTAGTGAAACCATGTTGATTGTACAATAAAATTTAAAAAATTTTGTTAAATGATTCTGCAAAGCATATTTTATCAGACTATCAGAAAACTTTTCACAACACTAATGTAAGACTATAAACTTAAAATAAGACACAAAACTCGAGCACTTCCGAATAGTTGACTATTCTTCTTCTTCTCCGATAGGATCACATATAAAGTGTAATAAACTTAAAATAAGACCCAAAACTTGAGCACTTTTGAATAGTTGACTATTCTTCTTCTTTGTTCTCCTGAAGAAGAATAGTCAACTATTTGAAAGTGCTCGAGTTTTGGGTCTTATCTTAAGTTTATTACACTTTAGATGTGAGCCTTTGTGCTAACTCTTTTATCAAGAATGTAAGACTATAATAGGTCTATAATTACATAAACAATTTTTATCACCTCCATTGAAAAGAGAAATAACATTAGCAAACTTCCTTTCAGTTGGATAAAACTAATATATCTTCTAGCAGTCTAAACTCGGTTCAAAAGAGAATGGGGTTATTTTGTCACAAAAGATCTGCAGAAGTGCTTACGAGCAATGAAATAGCTTGGAGGTTGGTAATAATGTAGAAAGTATGAGTTGAGTTGTTAGAGAAAAATGTTTACTGAATTTTCTTCTAAGTTATTCACCTCCAGATCAGGAAATTAACATTATGATAAAACTGTAATAAAAGTAGGCTTAATATCATGGGACTCTTCAATTTTAGATAAACTGTATTAATATGGCTTAAACACAAAAGACTGAAGAGTACATTGTGATTTTAAGGTTTTTTAAACAGAATGTTTGAAAGCCTAGTTCTAGGAGGATATGGTTAGAAAGTGTATATGCAAGAGCCTTTAAAAATCTCATTATATCTTTCATCTATCTGAACAGACACTGGTTTCTATAATGGTATGATGCAATTAAATATAACTAAGTACACTAAAATGATATTAGAAATTATTGTAAACTATTTGACATAAAAGAAAAAAACTAAATATATATATATATAAAACATTTTATTAATTCAAGGCTGTTTAAATGTTTTTGCAGCAACATCAGGTAAATACAACCCAAAACATAACAGATGTACCTAAATTCTGAGCACCTTAGGATTCAATACTAGTGATTAGAACTGGTTGACTGTAGAACTTGTTCATCAAGTTTTTGTCGAGTTCATTAAATTTTTACATTCAACTAATCTATTACTCCTACAAGTCTTGGATAGTTGAAATGACTGAAAATAGTAGTAATCTGAAACACCAAGTTAGATTAGTTGATTACTTTTTTTTAACATTAATCGATTTAACTTTAATTTTGATAAATCAATTATATGATACTAATCAATGTAACTGATACTCATAGGCAACAGATTGATTAATTGAGTTTATTGTCCAGCTTTACCAGTGATCATGCTACTTTTGATGTTAGAGTTCAAATGTAGAATAACTAAGCTTGATTAAAGAAACTAATTGGTAAACTTGTATAAATTGAAAGTTTGGTATTTTTCTAATTTGGTCTTGTTTTATAAGTAAGAATGTATTCCTTATAAAGTTTTACCACAACCAAAAGACTCTATCCTAAATTGTAAAACATAAATATTAAATTTAAGTAATTACTTGCGAGTCAATCTTACTTTAGTAGGTAGAAAAATAATGGTGTATAATTACAGAAATACTGTTGGAAAATTTACACAAGTTTTATGTTATTAGACAGCCACATTGTAACGGACTAAAACAAAACACTGCTACAACCAGGGTTGAACAAAAAAAGAATTTATTAGACTCTAACAACCACAAAACTCCATAATAAAACTTTTAAACAATTGGAATAAAAATTTATCATGCACCAAGAAATAGTTAATAAACATGTGCCTGGCCAGGACTTGATACTAACATTAATCAACAATACAACATAAATATCAGTTAGTAGTTTCAGTCAATAAAGGAATCAGAAAAAATAAGCCAGAAGGAGAAAAAAATCTTAATTCTGAAAAAACAATATTCTAAAATTAAATCACTTCCAGATCAATAACAATCAGCAAAAATTTGTTTTAACTGTATCTCATGAACGAACTTGTTTACGCCCAAGGCAGGATATGTGACTATCTAATTTACATAATCTTTCAAAACTTTAATATCTGTACATCACTGCTAGGGAAAGCTTGTGCCAGTGTCATAATACAAACATACTCAAATTCAATGTGCTCTGGCTAGAAGACGAGTTAGCACTTCAATATGACTAGAAATTCATAGTCGAACTAAATAATGGAAGGAATAATACACGAAGGTAAACAAAACTATATCAAAATAAAAGTAGAATTTGCCATATCACAACATGAAATTATAAAAGGTAAGATCATATTTTGTAAATCTGCTAACTTACTTAAAATGAATATTAATGTGATGATTTTGATGTACTTCTACTTTCAAGACTTTTGATAAGATGCCACACAAGATTTCTTGGGAAGGAGATAACTAGTTAAAGCGATTAAGAGTTATTTGCAAGGTAGAAGTAATAACAACATTATAAGTAGAACAGAGTCACAGAGGATTAATGTTACAAAAGGTGTGCTAGAGGGTTCTATGCTAGGTCCATTTTCTAGTTCTTATTTTCATTAATGACCAATAACTGTAATTATACTATAACTTGAAATACCCATTTGGATGTTTTCAATTGGAGAAGAACTGATGGAGGGGCATGATATACGTTTGGAGTTCATAAATCAAAATGCTGTGTTCAAAACACATGTAGATAGTATGACTACAGTATACAATTTTAAGATACGAAAAACCCAGCCATCACTTCACTTAAGACAGTGTTACTTTTCTAACAGTGCAGTCAACCTATGGAACAGTTTGGCTTAAAGTGTTGTAGAAGATGCAACATTGAAGAAATTTAAGAGAAGACTGGATAAGTACTTTGGACATTAGAAAAGAGGTTTCTTTATGTAATTTGAAGTAGGACAGTGTTAAAAAATGGATAGCCTAGGTGGATCAAATGGCCCCATGTTATCTCTCCCAAAAAAATTAAATAAATGGTAAGAACAGAATTTCCAGAAATTTGAAAGTCACTCATAAAATAAACATTTGGTAGATTACTAAGAGATAAAACAGGTTGAAACTAAAGAGAATTTGAAATGCTCTTAGCTTGAATTTGTTTTTCAAGGATTTTTTTTTGCTAATAGTAAAGAGAGTCAAAGAAAATACTGGACCTTTAAGAAATTTATACAAAAAATATTATTGTTGAAAAGTAATACACAGTTGAAGTTTTAAAGAACTTATTTCTCACTAGCGTTTTTATTCAAAATGTTAATGATATCCTAAGCCTATGATGTATAAACTGAAGGGTGTGCCCCTCAAAGGTGTGGTGGTATAAAGAGTCAAAATGCATATTTTGTCCCTGACTATATGGATACTTGGGAAGACCTCCTTTCTTGTGTGCGAAATATATATATATATATATTACTACTGTGGAGAGCAAGAAGAATCTATGTATAATTGACATGAGCTTCAAGCTTTCAACTGCATGCTTGCAAGTGATCCAAAGAGGAAACAAGAATCTAGAAATTATTAATTCAGGAGTAGAGTTTGTTATCACTTTATTATATCATGATCAAGCTCACAGTTTTCCCAGCTTAAGACTTCATATTTTCGAAATCCAACTTTTTAAAATTAAAGGTTAAAAAAACTCGAAACTTCAAGTCTTACACTAACGGATGATATCGTAGAAGTAATACTAAT